AATGAACAGACAGCAAATTCCCAAATCTGAACAAAAATCTCATTGCCTATAAATTCTCCACAAGCAATGCCTTAAGATGAGAAGGATTCTCCTATATACTCTCTCCACAGGAGATCTAATTTTTGATCAGATTCAACAGTGGGTTAAGATCTCAATTTTTATATGCTTATTAGGCTAGCTGAAACCTTATCTTTGTTTGATTATATTTGCCTTAACAATTGGAGAACCAGGCATAAAAAGCTCATGAATATTATTTTAGAAGAACAGAAAAGAATTTTGCTGCAATGTATTTTACTCTAATATAGTAGTCATCTAGAGGGGATGAATACCTAACTTTTCAGGTCACTAAATAATTTTAGAAGCTTGTTTAATACATAAAAACTAATATTCAGATATGTTAAATAAAAGCTTAGCTAATTTTTAAAAATAAGCACAGTCTTATGGATATAGTATTAATACACCTATATCTATATAATATCTAAAATGCATGAAATGCATTACCTAAACATGATAGCTCCAAGGTAAAATTTTTAAGTGAAAGGGATAGACATAAAGTTTATTTTAAAATACAAACCACAATGTACCATATTTGCTTCCCCAATAGCTGCCCAATAATTATTTTTAAATGTTTCTTGTAAATGAATTGGCAAATGCTGAAGGGAAGGGGTAAATGAAGGGGAGGGGCATGAAGCCAAATGCTGAAATTTTTTACATTATGTTTTCTACATAACATCTACACATCAGATGCTAAGACTGATTAGAGGGTGTGCTTTCATTCCTAAGGCAGACATTATACTAAGAAACAACATATTTACATAGCCTACCTGTCCTGCTGCTGTAACTGCATCTGCTATATAAGCTAACACATACTGTGCTTCCTCTCACTAGCAATTATAATTCAAAAGTACTGTTCTTGACATTTAGTGGGTTAATGTGTCTATGGTATTTAATCCTTCTCTTTTGGTTATCCCATATTATAAACCATTCACATAGTTGTTACTATATGCACAGAAAGGTTTCTAACTTTTCATAAATTATAAGCCATATAAAAAGATAAGCCAGGCACAGTAGCTCATACTTGTAATCTCAGCACTTTGGGAGGCTGAGGCGGGTGGATCGTCTGAGGTTAGGAGTTCAGAACCAGCCTGACCAACATGGAGAAACCCCATCTATACTAAAAATACAAAATTAGCCAGGCATGGTGGTAAATGCCTGTAATCCCAGCTACTCAGGAGGCTGAGGCAAGAGAATCGCTTGAACCTGGGTGGCGGAGAGTGCAGTGAGCTGAGATCGCACCATTGCTCTCCAGCCTGCGAGACAGAGCAAGACTCCATCTCAAAAAAAAAAAAAGGTAAAAGATTTGTCTGACCTCATTGCAATGTTTTGAGAATGATGTAAACGCTATTTAGAAATATGTCTCAGCAGTCTCTTAAGTTTTTGCTACAGAAACTAGGCTCTGAAAAAAAAACCCTGCTATTCCAAATCTTCATGAAATATATCACAATATAGGTGGTCACCCTCAAACTGATTTTGGTGCATGGGAGGGATTACTAGAACCAAAGAACCTACTTGTTAGTATAGATTATAAATCTAAGTGAGAATGCATTTGTCAAGACAACACAAGTGATAACTGATTTAAAAAAAAATTTTTAAAGCACCAGTCTTGCATGCTGAAGTATTTAGAAGTAGTGTCATAAAATCTACCATTTAATTTCAAATAGTATATGTATGTGCACTATAGGTAGGTAGGTAGACTGATAATGTAAAGATGGTAAAATAACCACACGCTGCGGCCTTTAAAAAAAAAAAAAAAGATGGTAAAATATTAACACCTGTTGAATCTATAGTAGAAAACATATTATTCTTTCAACTTTTCTATGTTTGAAATTCTTAAACAGTTGGGGAAAAAAACCTGAAAAGCACACCAGCATCATATTGTTAGCATCTATTATTGCTAACACTATAATGATTCTATTACCAGAAAGTAATACAAATGTCACTGTTATAAATACTCACAGATCACCACTGTGGCCACTGGGCCACAATTTCACCTTCAGAATCAACCATCTAAGTTGCCCTTGCATTATACTTTCTGTGATACAAATCCTTCTCCCAATGAGACCTTATTTGAGAACCCAATATATAAAAACAATGAAAATAAAGCTACCCTGATAGAACAATAGTAACTAAACGTTTGACCTGTTTTCACATCTTTCATCACCAGCAAATCAACAAACATATTCTTAGTTATTTATTTGGTACTGTGGGAAATATTAAAAAAAAAAAAAATTAGAGTTGCTGAATGCTTAAATTAAAACATCAGAGGCCAGGCACCATGGCTCATGACTATAATCTCAGCACTGTGAGAGGCTGAGGCAGGCAGATCATTTGAGGTCAGGAGTTTGAGACCAACCAGCCTGGCCAACATGGTGAAACCCTACATATACTAAAAATAGAAAAATTAGCCAGGCATGGTGGCGCACACTTGTAATTCCAGCTACTCAGGAGGCTGAGGCATGAGAATCACCTGAACCCAGGAGGTGGAGGTTGCAGTGACCCAAGATGGTGCCACTGCATTCCAGCCGAGGTGACAGAATGAGACACTATCTCAAAAAAAGAGACACCCAAAAAACACATATCAAATAATCCTTCAGAATCAAAAAATATTAGAGTTAGAAATGGCCAATGTATTATCTATTCAGTCTGTTTCCTTTTACTAAGGCTGAAATAAGTACAATGATGCAGCAAACAGGAGAAACAGAACTATATAGTCCAGGGTCCTGACTTAGCACCAGCTGTTTTCATTTACTCTCTATACTATCACCACTAAGTTGGGCATGTTGGTTTAGGGCCCCAACTGTAATTAACCTCTTGCATTAAGACATAACTAGATGCTAAAGCCTAGCAAGGACAAAATCCTAGGAAAGGAGTTAGAAGTAGCGTTTTAGTCCAGTTATTCCAGTAGTGAGGTTTGCTGCTATCATTCTCTAGGAACCACAAAGAGATTTCCCAGAATGTATAGCTGGCCAGGTGGTGGCTGACGCCTACAGTTCCAGCACTTTGGGAGGCGGAGGAAGGTGGATCACCTGAGATCGGGAGTTCGAGACCAGTGTGACCAACATGAAGAAACTCATCTCTATTAAAAATATAAATTAGCAAGGCATGGTGGTGCATGCCTGTAATCCCAGTCACTCAGGAGGCTGAGGCAAGAGAATCGCTTGAACCCAGGAGGCAGAGGTTGCAGTAAGTTGAAATCAAGGCATGGCACTCCAGCCTTGGCAACAAGAGCAAAACTTCTGTCTCCAAAAAAAAAAAAAAAAAAAAAAAAAAAAAAAAAACACAAAAAAAAAAAAAAAAAAAAAAAAAAAAAAGAATATATAGCCTCTTCAAAGCTATCTGTCACCCATTCCACTTGAGGAATTAATTGGCTAAAAAATTATTTATTACCTAAGTGATGAGTAAAGAATGAGACTACAATATTTTGGGACAAAACTCTTCCGACCAAAATTTTATATAACTGAGCTCTCAGTCACTTTAATGTTTAGTATTGGTAGACAAATGTCTACAGCAGTGATACCCAGTATAGGCCAACCTGTAGCTTCCCAAGTTCATTAATCCCTATTAAGGTATTTTATCATGCTAGACTCTACAGGAAATACAACTGTTTTATGACCCATTTTGTTAGTGATGACTGCAATAGAGTTCCAGTCCAGAAATTAGTGTCACTGGTCTAAAGGCTTATCGAACAGCTTACATTTTTTTTTTTTTTGAGACAGAGTCTCGCACTGTTGCCCAGGCTGGAGTGCAGTGGTGCAATCTCAGCTCACTGCAACCTCCACTTTCCAGTTTCAAGCAATTCTTGTGCCTCGGCCTCGTGAGTAGCTGGGACTACAGGCACGTGTCACCACACCAGGCTAATTTTTTGTATTTTTAGTAAAGATGGGTTTTACCATGTCAGCCAGGTTGTTCTCGAACTCCTGACCTCAAGTGATCCACCCACCTCAGCTTCCCAAAGTGCTGGGATTACAGGTGTGAGACACCACACCTGGCCTGAAGAGCTTAAATGAAATTCAAATGTAGCACTAAATGCAGCAAAAATTATGCAATATATTTCATGAACAGATTCCTAAACTTATTTTAAAATAATGCACGCCTAGATTCAAAGAAAAATTTTAAAAAAAGATTACCCTGAATAGCTGGGGGACAGATAATCAATGTCTGCTGAAAAGCATCACCACAACCAAACTGAGCAGTTCCTGCCTGCAGAGGTATTCCATGGTGCACAACTGAATGAGCAGATGTGGTCAATGCCTGAAACAACCAGCACATTATACAAAGCACATTATATAGAGTAGTTGTCTAAATGAAATTCACACACTGTATAGACAGAATTCAAACACACTTCTTAAGATCATAATTCTACAATTAAAATCTGCCCAGACAATGAGAACAAAAACAAGCTGACGTAATTAAAATTTAAAAACTGATTCTACTGACCTCTACTTTTGGTAGAGTTGTGGCATAGAAGGGCAGGAGGAAGATATTCAGAGAGTGAGAAAGGAATGGAAAAAATGATTTTGAGTAGATATGTTCCAATTACTACCTTGAAATTTTAAGAGATTTGGTAGAACAGGTATAGTAAGATCTCACCAGCACTGTACATTTTAACAACTGACACCAAACTTCTATGTATATCAGAAGTAAAATGAGCAATCATTCAAAAAAGACGGTAAGTTATTAATTACTACATATTCTTACCTGACTTCTTAATGTTCCAATTTTAGTAAAATTTGCAGTCAGTGCAGCAGTACTGCTTGAAGGAACTGATCTTAAAAGTGAAGTTTTGTTGTGATTATTTGTGTCACATGAATTTAGGTGGGACTTACAAATATCCATAATATGAAAACAGGACTTTACACTGTAAAAAAAAAAAAAAAAAAAAAGTAAAGGTATTATAATATTACTTTAAATGCTTAGAGCAGTTTTAAATTGAGGTATATTGACAGAATAAAAAATTATTCCTAAAAGAAAAAAAATCCTATGATTTGCACTTAATCTGCTTGTTTCCAACAATATTTCTAACAGGAAATCTTACCAGAAAAGATTAAGTTTCAGAGCAAGTAAAAGTATATATTGTGCAATATTTTTCTTAAGACAATAAAACAATAGTGCATTTTTTGGCTAGCATGCAATAATTTTATTACTCCCTACGTGAAATAACTTCTCCTAAATTTCTAGATCTCCACACCACTAAATTAACAGTACCAAGGAGTAGCTATCATGTTACTTTCAAAGTGACTGTATATGAAAAACATCAGGACAGTTTTTGAGTGTTTGAGGGGAAAATGTAACGGGGCTGTATAAAAATATCAATTTTAAGAACAATTCACAATGATGAATACTGGATTCATTCCTATGTCTTCTTCATTTTGTCTTTTTAATTACTGAAGGAAGCTGTTTTAAGTCACTTAAATTTACTCCCTTCATCTCCTAAAATATGTCTGAGGTTCAAAGAATTTGTAAGATATGGCCGGTGCAGTGGCTCACACCTGTAGTCCCAGCACTTTGGGAGACCAAAGTGGGTACATCACTTGAGCCCACGAGTTTGAGACCAGCCTGGGTGACATGGTGAAACCCCATCTCTATAAAAAATTAGCCAGGCATGGTGGCACATGCCTGTAGTCCTAGCTACTCAGGAGGCTGAGGTAGGAGGATCACTTAAGCCTGGGAGGCAGAGGTTGTACTGAGCCAAGATCGTGCCACTGCATTCCAGCCTGGGAGACTGACAAAGACCCTGTCTCCAAAACAAACAAACAAAACACAAAGAATTTGTAATATTTAAGGTCTTTGGATTTTTTGTATTTATTCTTCTTACTGACCCATGATCTAATGACCCATGAAAATCCTCCTTTCCTTCACAATACCGGAGAGGAAAAAGGAAAGCAAAAGCTGTGGGGCAACAATGTAAAATGGAAGCTGCAGGACTCAAAATATGATAGAATCTAAGGTCTATGAAAACTGAAATGTAACTTGAAAGAGTAAACTCTTAGCATTTCCTTTTATATAAGCCTGGTTATTAAGGTATGAAAGTCATGTATAATAAAACCAAAACCACTCAGTCTTATTTTTAGTATGGCATTTTGGAGAAGGAACTCTGGACTGCAATTCGGACTTGGATTCTAGTTCCCTGACATTTACTAGTGTATGTGAACTTGGTCAAGTTAGCTTAGCCTCTTTTGACTCAGGTTACTTGTATTTAATGAAGAAAAGTAATTTCTCCGATGCAGTGATTTTTCTATAGGCTTAATCTTTTTTTTTTTAGAAGCACTTTAAAAGGTCTTAAGTAACATACTGGTTGCTATGAGGAAAATCTAGAAGATGTTTCATATTAACAAAAGGATGGTTCAGAGTCTCAGCTGGAGTAATTCTTAAATCTGCATCAATCAGCAACATTTTCTTCAACAGACTAACAAATTCTCTTCTATCAGCTTTCTCAGCCAAAAGATCACTTCCTTCCAAATCCATCACCGTGTTCACCTAAGAAATAAAAATTTCAAGCCATCAAGTAAAAATAAGTCAGAGAGAGTAGTATAAATTCCACAGTTAAAAAAGAAAACAAAAATCACAACACAGGAAAGGAGAGGGAACTACAATTATCTTAAAACAAAGAAGAACAATTAATATTAACAAATCCTCAAGATGTGTTGAGGTACCACATAGGATTCAAAGGATAAAAGAAGATTTTTAAAATTAAACAATTATCCATTTCTAATGAAATACAGGGAAAAGAAATCTGTTAGCTAAGGGGATTTTTTCTTTCAAAGCAAATACTTTTTTACTAAAGAACAGAATAGGTAAATTAAAATTTTGATTACAACAAATGCAATTTAGTTCCTGAAAGGTTGAAAATAGAATCAATTTCATTTGAAAAACTTAACAGCATGGACTCTATAGCCATTTGGAAAACTGAGTAACATGTTTTGGGCCCCTTGGTATTCAAGTCTACCATCTAAGCATATAAGATTAACAAATGTGGCTATGGTACTCACATGCGCTATATCATCCAGACTGTTGAAAATGTATTTTCTGGCTTCTTTAGATTTCATTCCTGTCTCTGCCTCATGCTCTTCCAATGTCTGATTGCATATATCAAAGTGAAGAAAGAATATGTTATTACCCACAACATGCAAATTTCTTTAATCCTGGCACATTTAGTCTAATATATTAAATATTCGAATGCAAATAGTAATTTCAAAAGAGAAACTATTAAAAATGTATTTTTAAAGTATATGCAAAAAAATAAGAATTGTTTGGTTCAGGCCAAGAAAAATATTACAAACATAACAACAATATGGTGAAACCCCATCTCTACTAAAAATACAAAAATTAGCTGGGCATGGGGGCGTGTGTGCCTGTAGTCCCAGCTACTAGGGAAGCTGAGGCAGGAGAATCGCTCGAACCCAGGAGGCAGAGGTTGCAGTGAGCCAAGATCGCGCCACCGCACTCCAGCCTGGTGACAGGAGCAAGACTCCATCTCAAAAAAAAGAAAAGAAAAGAACTAATCATGTTAATTATTGAGGATTTACTGATTTCCCCAAAGATCTTAGCACACTTAGGATATGTAGTAAGAGATTAGATTTAGTCCTTGTCCTATAAAGTGTAATGATGTAGAACTGAGAAGATAAACATACAACACAAATGTAGTTATACACATGAAAGTTTTTAAAAATGTAAGATGAATTAATAATTATGCCACTGAATTACAGAGTAAGTGAAGTTATTCTAAGAGAGCTTTCTTTTTAAAGAAGGAAGGAGGCCAGGCGTGGTGGCTCACACCTGTAATCCCAATACTTTGAAGGTCAAGGTGGGCAGATCACAAGGTCAGCCTAGCCAGCATGGTGAAACCCCGTCTCTAATAAAAATACAAAAATTAGCAGGGCATGGTGGCAAGCACCTATAATCTCAGCTACTCGGGAGGCTGAGGCAGTAGAATTGCTTGAACCTGGGATGGTACCTGGAGGGCTGAGGCAGGAGAATCGCTTGAAACTGGGAGGTGGACGTTGCAGTGAGCCAAGATCATGCCACTGCACTCCAGCCTCGGCGATAGAGCAAGACTCCATCTCAA